TTATTGTAAATAAAGTTTCAGATATCGTTACATTTTCAAATTCTTGAATACTATCATTATTTTTGTCAGAATCATGATAATTTATTATAATTGAAGTTATGAATTGCCCAATAAATTTTATATGGAATAATATATTTGAACCTGTTTGCATACTGTAGATTTTTATGTAATTGTCTGTAGGCTGGTGTCTGCATATTTTCTTAATTCTATCAGTGTGTGAAATAATGAGTGCCACGATAAGCCTTGCAACGTCTGGCGAAAAGTTGGAAAGCGTACACATTCAGTAAATCTACAAACTTTTTCAAAACATGAACATTGTGATGAAGAGCAGTATGTTTAAGTAGTGGGAGAGAGATCCATAACAAATAAATTAAAGTATTAAATTATTTTACTCAAGTAATTGTAATATAAATAAAAACAAAAATTTTTAGAATTAATTATCTAATAATCTCAGCCTACGTCTATGTTTAATTATGTCAATCTATAGGTTGTAATACTATCTTTTTATCAAATGTTCGTTGCAACGTTTATAAATTACACCGTCATCACGCTACTCTTCATCCAAACGTCGAACTTTATGAAATTTTTATTATTCGATGCATATCGATTATATGCAAGAGTTCCGATGTTTTAATGTTTAAAAAATCATGCGCATCTAATAACTTATAACACGGTACAGTGGTTAACTCATAGTCGAAGTCCCAATTTTCAACAGGTTTTTGAAGTTTCCATATGATGCTTGACTTATCAAAGTAACCCAACACTCTTACGTATTCAAACGACATTTCAAGTAAATCATACTTAAACAGCTTTTTATGCATTTTACGATATACTCTGACTTCTCCGTAAAAGGGAGTGTCATGCTAAACCTCCTAAAGAAGATTTGTGGCGCGGATAGTACTTGCATGCTGGTACACGACAATAGTACACATGGCAATCACAATTTCCGTCATCACAGACTTTTTTGATTGCACGTACTGTATCTATAACAAAAATTATTTGTTTTTTTTTTATTTATTTTTTCTTATAACATAATACGATAAGGTTTTTGAGATAAACTGCCGCTATTTTAAAACTATCATACACATTTTTTTTTCATTACATAGTTACAATGAATGGAAATTTATTTTAAACGAATTTTCTTAATTCAGTTCAATAACCTTAACGTTGCATACATTGTAAAATCCTCCAGTAGCTGTTCGCAAACGATACGCATGAAATTTAGGACCTTCTGAAACAAAGCTCTCTATATACAATCCTTCACTGTACATTTCTAATTCATTAGTTAACTGTCCTAATAGCAAACCTGTGGGTGGTTGACAGGGGTGTTAATGGACTTGACCGATGGACTGAACAGAGCGAATGGACGGCCACTAGCGTGTGAAATGGCCACGACGAAAGCTAGCTGTGTGAGAGTCCGAACATGACTAAAAAAAGTTTTTAATGAAATTATTTTTAAAGTGATCATCACGTTTTTGTAGTAATTAAAGAAGCTTGTAAATCATTCAGTATTGCTTACTTATGACGCGTTTATTCTAACTGTAATTGGGTTCATTTTAAATATTAGTTAAACTTTATTTTCGAAAAGGTGCAGTAAAAATATTTGTTTCATTTTTTTTATGATCACTGATACCATCCACAACGTTTGGACATCCGGGGAATGGCACTAGTGGACTTAGACGTTTAAGTTTCTGGAAGGCGTTGTAATATGCATATATATCACTATCCTGCAATGATGCTTTTTTTAGGGATAAAGTCTTGATGAGCCATTCTTTTAACACGCACGATCTGTACAGTGCACAAAATGACTGCTTGTCTTTAAAATGTTTTTGCGCATGCGTTAGAAAAATTGGCAAACCAATTTTTTTGTTTTCATGCATTGTAAATAAGTTACGAATTTGCAAAAAGGCATGAACCTTGCGTGCTAGTATTAAACTTATGAATTTGGCTCCATCATCACCATACGTATAAATTCTCTTGAGATTTTTAGTAAGTGCAATAAGACAATACTTTAAATAATTTATTGTGATACCTCTGTCAAACCACTCTATGCCGTGAACTTCTAGCGTGCGCTGATTATTGTACTTTCTGACATCGTAAAGTAAATTGTTGAATAGGCGGGGTGGCTTAATTAACCAATAACCTATGACATTTGCTTGTATCGATACCACTGCAACTTCTTTTGGTATAAAATTTCTGTCAGAGTCGTAGAAACCTTGGATATAGATTACGAAATCCATGATGGTGAACCACCACATTTTCTTGTAATCTTTATTCTCTAGACAAGATTTTGGTTACTGGAGAATTGATCGGTCGTAAATTTTTTTACCGACGAAAATAGCGATCTCTTTTTTTTCTCCTCGTCCTCCCTGTTGAAGAGAGAACGGGTCCTCTCTTCTATAGTACTCTGTTCCTTCTTACTACTTGTCAACATCATGAAATACTAAGTAAAAACAGGTTGCAACATGCATTTATAATATCTTTTTACAGAATGTAGCGCCATCTCCCCTATATGTTTAAGAAAATCATCAATAATACAAACATACGATTAACTGTGTTAGAATAATGTGTACGCAAACTTTTTTTACAACAGATCTCTTCTTCTCTCTCTCTCTCTCTCTTTCTCTCTCTCTGTCTCACTCTCTCCTTTATCTTAATAAGCCCTTTCAAAAATACCATAAAAATCATCATGCTATGAGTAAAAAAGATAAAAAAAGCAAGTGACTCACCTTTCAAAACTATAACCATCGTCGTCGTGTCTTCTTCTACAGCGTTGGTAAATAATGTATGTTTGGTATCAAAATTTTATAAGAAAATATAAAAATAGGGAAAAACAAAAGGTTTCACATTCATGTTAGAAAAAAACTCTATTTATTGAAAAATTTTTTTTTTTAATAGTACTTTCAATATATTTTGTCTTTATCTGTTACAAATGCATACCAACAGACGCACACCACTTATTTTGGCAGTCATCATCTTGCACATTTATTACAAAAATATCTGTTATCGTATTTGTATTTATTGTAAATAAAGTTTCAGATATCGTTACATTTTCAAATTCTTGAATACTATCATTATTTTTGTCAGAATCATGATAATTTATTATAATTGAAGTTATGAATTGCCCAATAAATTTTATATGGAATAATATATTTGAACCTGTTTGCATACTGTAGATTTTTATGTAATTGTCTGTAGGCTGGTGTCTGCATATTTTCTTAATTCTATCAGTGTGTGAAATAATGAGTGCCACGATAAGCCTTGCAACGTCTGGCGAAAAGTTGGAAAGCGTACACATTCAGTAAATCTACAAACTTTTTCAAAACATGAACATTGTGATGAAGAGCAGTATGTTTAAGTAGTGGGAGAGAGATCCATAACAAATAAATTAAAGTATTAAATTATTTT